CTCCAAACAGCAACTACCTTCGACTAGAAACAAAGATTACACCAAAGGATCAAACAACAACCATTTTCTGCAGTTTTTTTGCAGATGGCTTCCTTGTGCTTGGCCCAGCACGCCAAAAATCACACCTCGGAGGAGTACAAAAATTACAACTATCAGATGTCCTTGATTGCTGGCCATGCTTGGCATCGTCGTCATCGCTGTCATCATAGTCGTCAACACTGCTTTTTCATCCTGTGATCAAGATTGATTTATAAACGTAATGTGGTATTTCCTGTTGTTCTTTCACTTTCTGAAATTAACTGAATGCTGTTGTGTTCTCTTCTCTTGTGTTTTGTCTCCATGGACAATTGCCATGGCTACTGAAGAAGTGTGAAAGCAGCTGTGACGGGCAAGCCTAGTCTGCATAGCCACGGCGGGTGACGTCTACCTCTCGTGTGTGTGTGTGTGTGTGTGTGTGTGTGTGTGTGTGTGTGTGCGTGCATGTGTGTGTGTGCGTGTGTGTGCGTGTGTGAGTTCATGTGAGCACGTCTGTGTTTAGATGCATGGGATTTTAGGAAATTAGTAAACGGACTTCTTGTTGATAATTTGCTTCTTGGTTCTCTCAATATCTGCTGAATCTGTTCCATACATTCTATTCGCCATGCTCTTTACAACTGCAAGTAAATTTTGCGAATAATTTTCATTGTCGTTGTCGTCTGGTAACAAATTAATTACATCATAGCTGATCGTTGTCCTCCACCAGCCTGCACTGTGAACTTAGCCAGTATAATTAGTTTTTTGAAACTTTTTTCCCTCTAACTAATTTTCTTAGTATGCAGCGTTTGGCTGACTATCGTGTGCAATTGACCATGCCATTCTTTTTTAATTGTTTCTGGCTTTTTCTTGTTTCCGTACACGTGACAATATTGCTGTTGCCTCAGCTTTGGTGTTTTGTATGATAAATAAGTGTAAAGATTATTCCTGATGAAATTTAAACTCTCAGATATTCCAAATACTCTTTCTGCTCTCAGACTATGCTAGGTTCAAGTTTGAACTGAAGCTAGGCGGTTTACAGGAGAGTACGAGATCACCACTGCCTGCCGTTGTACATGTACATGTGTGTGTGTGTGTGTGTGTGTCCCATATGGTGCAGTGGTATGTGCAGTCGATTTCCAATCGAGAGGTTGCGGGTTCAATTCCCGACGATTACGGTCGCACACGTCTTTCTTCTCTTTCTCGGTCTCTTCCTGACTTTTCTTTCATTCTCCTGGGTGGTTACCAACAGCCAGTGTACGCCGGAGTATGTGGTGTGGTGTGTGTGTGTAGAAAAAATGGAAAAATGAAAATAGGGATTCACTGGCCAGAAAAAGTCACTTCAATCAGCTGTGTGGTGGATACCAGGCTAAAAATAGTGGCGGTCAATTCATCAGCCTTGCAAGCTGTTGAATGGTGTAATCCCAGCACAAGTTGCTATGCCTAACATAGCTGTTCGCTATCATCGCTTCCGCGATGGGCAGGTCTGAGGTCTGAGGTGTGTGTGTGGGTGTGTGTGGCGCGGATGCCGGACAACCGCATCCCAAAACAGGTACTGTTTGGCTCCTTCTTGCAGCGTCGCCCAGCACATGGCCCACGCCGCAGATGGAAGGACTGTGCTGTCCGAGATCTACGTGCCCGTGGCGTGGAGGCATCATGGTATGATGTTGCATGTGAGTCTCGCGCGGAGTGGCGCAGCACCTACCAAGAGCCTGACAATGTGCCTGAGCCTCCGCCCCGAGTGGTATGTACGGTATGCGGACGGGATTTTGCACGGAAAGGAGACATGGCTCGGCATAAGTGTCTGGAGGAGCGTGCGCGGCCTGTGTCTGAGCAGCGGGGCGCCAGTCAGTGCGGGCGGTGTGGGCGGTGGCTGAGAAGCCGCGGTGGCTTGGTCCGGCATGTGTGTGCCTCAACGGTGGATGCCGCAGTGCCACCTGGAACTACCGGAGCGTCGGCACCGGCGGAGGGATGTTGTGCCGCGCATTGTGACAGGTGTGGTCGCTGCTTTCGCGGTGTCCGGGGACGGGGAAGGCATCGCTGTTCAAGGGTGGCTCATAGACCAACAGCAGCGGAGCGCTCAGCCTTCCAGCACGTGTGCATATGCGGCAAGCGGATGCGACTACCCGTGCACCTGGAGCGTCATCGAGCGTCGTGTCCTCTCTCTCTCTCTTCTCAAGTTTCCCAGTGATGGGATCACGTGACCCTTTTGCGGCAGTGACTCTACAGGACAGGACAGGTGTGTGTGTGTGTGTGTGTGTGTGTGTGTGTGTGTGTGTGTGTGTGTGTGTGTGTGTGTGTGTGTGTGTGTGTGTGTGTGTGTGTGTGTGTGTGTGTGTGTGTGTGTGTGTGTGTGTGTGTGTGTGTGTGTGTGTGTGTGTGTGTGTGTGTGTGTGTGTGTGTGTGTGTGTGTGTGTGTGTGTGTGTGTGTGTGTGTGTGTGTGTGTGTGTGTGTGTGTGTGTGTGTGTGTGTGTGTGTGTGTGTGTGTGTGTGTGTGTGTGTGTGTGTGTGTGTGTGTGTGTGTGTGTGTGTGTGTGTGTGTGTGTGTGTGTGTGTGTGTGTGTGTGTGTGTGTGTGTGTGTGTGTGTGTGTGTGTGTGTGTGTGTGTGTGTGTGTGTGTGTGTGTGTGTGTGTGTGTGTGTGTGTGTGTGTGCGTGTGTATATGTGCATATCTGTTAACCATGGACTGCTTCTGGCTAGATTAACTCTTGTGTAATCGATGGTGCTAGTGACGCTTAAATCAGATCCACTCTGAATTAGCCACCCACACTATAGTACCAAGTATTACCTTCACTGGGGGCAGAGTACCTGCAGTTGGATCCCAGTCGGATACCCTGATGCCGTTCATCCTTTTTCTGCACCTTGTCCTCACCCACATACTGAGGTGTGGTGAGCCCATAAGTGGGATCATTTTCAAGTCCACCCAGAGTTTCGGGGATTTCAGGGGTGTCGGCTGTTGGGCGGTTCAATAGCCAGTTGAGTCTTCTTTCCAAGATTCCTTTTGAGTCTCTCTCCCCTCTCCCGGGGAGACCCACGTGACCAGTTTTGGCAGTGAGCAACAAGTATGTGTGTGTGTGCGTACGCGCGCACGCGCGTGTGTGTGCCTTGGAGGTCTGTTAGTTGCACGATACTTAGAGATCTCAGCCTCAATCCTGGGGACGGTATCTAATCTTGACTCTCGTCTCAATTTTAACCGTTCAGCCCCAAATAAGTTTTGGGAGTTGCAATTGCATGTGTAGTGTCATTCCAAGGCACTTCCTTGCTATCGCTGTGATGTCCTGTGTGCACGAGACCATACACAAGCACACTCTAGCGTATACTTCAGTAAACCTGGTCGTATTTTAGGTAAACACTGGGATTTATTGTACTGACTGGTCTTGTGTTAAACCTTGTATGACAGTATGACTAGTCTTATCAGGACACGTAACGACTAAACACTGTTCATAACCACTAGTCTTATCAGGACACGTTATGACTAAACACTGTTCATAACCACTAGTCTTATCAGGACATGTTATGACTAAACACTGTTCATAACCACTAGTCTTATCAGGACACGTTACGACTAAACACTGTTCATAACCACTAGTCTTATCAGAACACGTTACGACTAAACACTGTTCATAACCACTAGTCTTATCAGGACACGTTACGACTAAACACTGTTCATAACCACTAGTCTTATCAGGACACGTTACGACTAAACACTGTTCATAACCACTAGTCTTATCAGGACACGTTACGACTAAACACTGTTCATAACCACTAGTCTTATCAGGACACGTTACGACTAAGCACTGTTCATAACCACTAGTCTTATCAGGATACGTTACGACTAAACACTGTTCATAACCACTAGTCTTATCAGGACACGTTACGACTAAACACTGTTCATAACCACTAGTCTTATCAGGACACGTTACAACTAAACACTGTTCATAACCACTAGTCTTATCAGGTCACGTGACGACTAAACACTGTTCATAACCACTACACCACGTTTACTGTGTACTGTTAAAGCTGATTTTTTCGGTGATGTGTTTTATTTGCGGTAACTTCGGTGCCGACAAATTTGACCGAAAATAAAACGCACCGAAATTTTCTCTAAAACCGGTCCTGTATACATGTCGTACTAGTACACTTACCTGGAAAACCGGTTTTACCTAAAATTTCCCTCCACTGAACCGCCGATTTTGGCGAATTCCGAATACACATGTATTGCACATCGAAAATTTCTGCTTTTACAGTATATTATCTACATGTACATGTATATGAAAAACATACAGTACTACATACATGTACATTTCTCATGAATAGTTGTAATTGCCAATCTATAGTTTTGCGTCGTTTTCCGCTTAATTTTCATAACTCAAGAGCTGGTGTGAGAAAGGTGCCCGGTCTAATGGAGTGTGCGGATCTGTGTATTTGCACCTTGACTTATTGCTAGTCATCGGCGGATAATGCCGGCATAATTTTGAGCATAATCACGGCTTTCTGAAAAATAGCATTGCCAAGCATAATTTAGTTGATCCTTCAGCATAACTGCTGCATAAAACCGCTAGGGCCTCAAAGGTCAAAAGTTCACCGTCCAGAGTCCGTTGTTTGTTACAAGGGCAAGGGAATCCTCCTATAAATAGATCTACACCCGGGACTCGGCAGGGAGTCGTACCATACCACGGTATATATCTGGCACGGCTCCGTGAAAGGGCCTGATCTACACTGTAAATGTAACAGATGTCTAATGTTTAGGGCGTCAAAGGTCAAAAGTTCACCTTCCAGAGTTCTATTATTCCTATACATAATTATGCTTGTATTGATGTTGCAGTGGCTACATGTATTTGTATTTTTCTATATTTAACTTTAAGGATTTCCCAAAGGCTTTGAGCCTGTCGAGGGGATCTCCTGCAAGAAGAATGAAATGACAACTTTATGTAGAGGGAGCAGTTAATTGAGGATAGGCTAAGGAAATAGATCGAAGCATACAAAATCTGGTGATTAAGGAGTTGGGATACCGTCAGTGTAATGAATATATCGGCGAAAATGCTGATAGAGAGAATGCTTGAATCCCAGGAGGCTGGTTATAGAGGTAAGAGAAGGCGGTAGGCAATTCCATAGCATTGCAGCTTTGTTGGAAAAGAGGGAAGAAAAACGCCTACCGTGATAATTGATGTGAAGTTTGTTTGGTCTTCTTGGACTTGAAGACAATGAAAGGTGAAAATGTCGGATGTGTTCTGGAGATATATGTATAAATTTAAATAGAGTAACAAGAGCTGATCTTGTCTGCGAAAGTGCAAGGACTCTAAGTCACAAAGGGCGTTTAACTGGGATTTCGTTTCGCATCTATCTACATTGACTTTTTTACGTAGCAAATACTTCCTAGCTACTCTGGCTTGTAAAATATTTAAACGCGCCAGCTCAGCTTTGGTGATGGCATAGGACCAGGCCGAGGTGGCATGTTCCAGGGCGTGTCGGACAAAACCTTTATATAGAAGTAGCTGTATCCTGGTTTCTTATCCATAGCTGAGACTAGATTTTCCATGCAGTTTTCTCCGGAAGTCCACATTTGATCCCGAGTACACATTCTATACATTTTAATGGCATTATAAACATGAAAGAGCACAGTGTCAAGAAGCATAATTTGAGCATAATTTAGTGATTTTCAGAGCATATTGCCAGCATACTGAAAAGCATAATCCGTGGGATTTTTGAGCATTATCCGCCGACGTCAAGTTATTGCTGTACGGCTGTTCACAGAACTAATGACGTGTGTAGCATTGTACTTAGAGGTACATGTATGTTGAAGTACATGTACATGTATGATAGCATGATATAGACTATGCATGCATACATACACTGTAGTCTATATCAGGTGTACTGTACAGGAATAACATGATCAAACAACGACGGATAAACAGTCTCCGTACCTCTGGGGACACCCCAGGCCGTCCACAACGGCGAGAACAAGCACGGATGGAGGCCAGAAACAAGAGCCCGGAAAAGTACAACCGTCCTCCACCAGAGCAGAGAACACACACACACACACACACACACACACACACACACACACACACACACACCTGTCCTGTCCTGTCCTGTAGAGTCACTGCCGCAAAAGGGTCACGTGATCCCATCACTGGGAAACTTGAGAAGAGAGAGAGAGAGGACACGACGCTCGATGACGCTCCAGGTGCACGGGTAGTCGCATCCGCTTGCCGCATATGCACACGTGCTGGAAGGCTGAGCGCTCCTCTGCTGTTGGTCTATGCGCTACCCTTGAACAGCGATGCCTTCCCCGTCCCCGGACACCGCGAAAGCAGCGACCACACCTGTCACAATGCGCGGCACAACATCCCTCCGCCGGTGCCGACGCTCCGGTAGTTCCAGGTGGCACTGCGGCATCCACCGTTAGGCACACACATGCCGGACCAAGCCACCGCGGCTTCTCAGCCACCGCCCACACCGCCCGCACTGACTGGCGCCCCGCTGCTCAGACACAGGCCGCGCACGCTCCTCCAGACACTTATGCCGAGCCATGTCTCCTTTCCGTGCAAAATCCCGTCCGCATACCGTACATACCACTCGGGGCGGAGGCTCAGGCACATTGTCAGGTTCTTGGTAGGTGCTGCGCCACTCCGCGCGAGACTCACATGCAACATCATACCATGATGCCTCCACGCCACGGGCACGTAGATCTCGGACAGCACAGTCCTTCCATCTGCGGCGTGGGCCATGTGCTGGGCGACGCTGCAAGAAGGAGCCAAACAGTACCTGTTTTGGGATGCGGTTGTCCGGCATCCGCGCCACATGCCCCAACCACTCCAACCGCCGATGTGCAATTTTGTCTTTAATCGTCTCGGAGTCTCCCCAGCGCACCAGCAGCTCTTCGTTGGTGATGTGTTCGTCCCACATCCGGCTTCGAGAGACCCCGAGGATGGATCGGATGCACCTCATGCTGAAGGTTGAGAGCTTCTGCAGGTCATGCTGAAGGGGCGTCCAGCACTCAGAGCCATACAACAGCAGGGACAGAACGCAAGCATTGAATACGCACCGCTTGGTGTGCATCAGCAGATGTGGATTGGAGAATACAAACCTCCGAAGAGCACCGCAGGCCCTGGAGGCTTGGGCAATCCTTGCGGCGATGTCCCGGGACGAACGGCAACCGCTGTCCACTACAGAACCGAGGTATTTGAAATGCGGTACGCATTCCACCTCCGCTTGACCAAGTTGGAGGGGAGCGCGGTCAGTAAGCGTGATGCCGGGGCCAACAACACACACACACACACACACACACACACACACACACACACACACACACACACACACACACACACCTTGACCTTTGACGCCCATCGCCAGAGGCGATGATAGCAATGCTACGGCAGAAGCCATAGCAACTTGTGCTGGGATTACACCATTCAACAGCTTGCAAGGCTGAAGAATTGACCGTCACTATTCAGCCTGGTCTACACCATACAGCTATTTGGAGTGACATTTTCTGGCCAGTGAATCCCTATTTTTGGTCTTTTTCATTTTTTTTTTCCCCCGCACACACATCACACCACATACTCTGGCATGCCCTGGCTGTTGGTAACCACCCAGGAGAATGAAAGAAAAGTCAGGAAGAGTCTGAGAAAGAGAAGAAAGACGTTGGTGTTCAACGTCCTTCATCTCCTGCACAGTACTGGAGCAGAGAAAGTTAGATGGTCAGCACCTGGCTGGAGAACAGACGCATGCTCCTACACACTAGGAGTAAGTAGAGTGTTGATATAATGTGTGTACATGTGTGCTCTTGCACGTGCGCGTGCCCGTGTGTGTGTGTGCGTCCACGTGTGTTTGTGTGTGTGTGTGTCTATCTGTCTGTCTGTGTAGGTGCAGGCTCCTGTGTGTGTGTGTGTGTGTGTGTGCACGTGCGCGTGTCCGTGTGTACGTGTGTGTGTGTGATCACGTACCCGTATGTGTATATGCATGTTCAAGTGGTGACACGCCGTCTTCTTGTTTGTACCATTGTCAAGTGATTGATGACCAGTGGAAATTGTTTCTGTGACATAACATTACGAGATGTGCAATTGCTGCAAGCTTCTCTCAAGTTGGAATAAAGTTATGACAATTTGACTGGTTTTGACCCCTGGGGTCAGTCAGTAGGTTTCCTAACTCCTAATGGCATTGTACTGAGAGTATTGTTGCTGTCATTGTTGTAATTGTCAAATTGTTTCTTCTGTTTTGTATATCACATCGGTCACAATGATACATGTTCTCTGCTATTGTGGTGAACATTTGAGTGACGAAATGATGCAAGGTCTTGTCGACTATATTCTTCACTTCCAGTCAGTTGATGTCAATGAAGAAGATAAGACCTGGGTAAGTTGTTGTGTTTTGGATTGTGACAAGAGACATTGCCTGTGCTCAGTATACTGTGCTGGTTCACTGCCATGTGTACGTCTTTGCTGGTGTCTCTGTGTGTACGTCTGTTTCCTTGTTGGTGTGTTTGACCTGTGTATATGTACTGCATGTTCATCTGTGTGTTTGTGTGTGTGTATGTACGTGTGTGTGTGTGTGCACGTGTGTGCACGTGTGTTTGTGCATGTGTATACGTGTGTGTGCATGTGTGTGTGTGTGTGTTTGTGTGTGTGTGTGTTCAGGGCAACTGGACACTCTTACAGTATTGTGCATGGACAGGCAATGCACCTTTAGCAAAACTGCTCATCGAACGCGGCGCTTGCCTCAACGCACAGTCCAGCGTGGTAAGAAATAGTGTTACTCTAGAGTCTGGTTGTCTCAACTGAATTCTCAGTTTGTATGTTCTTACATGTCTGTTCATCGTTCGTACTCGTATGTCCTTTTGTCCACGTGTGTTCATGTTTGCACTCTCATCTGTTCATCAGAAACGACATTTTCATTGTGCAACATGTGTTATCTTGTAGGCTCACGTGTGTTCTTGTGCGCATGTGTGTGTGTGTGTGTGTGTGTGTGTGTGTGTGTGTATGTGCATGTGTGCCAATGGGTGTGTACTCACATGTGCACACAATGACTTGTAATTCTTCATGTTTGTTCATGTGCCTGTGGTCCTGCATGTGTGTTCATGTGTGCACGTGCATTGTTGTGTTTGTTCTAGTTGTCCAGGTCTGTGTCGGTGTGTGGTTGTAGTAGTTAGTGTAATGGTTGTATAGCAATACTCATCACATTCTCTCTTTCTCTACAGTTACTAAATACTCCACTGCACTGGGCAGTCCAGGAGAACAAGATCAATGTTGTCAAGGTGATACTGTCACATGACAGTGACGGTGTCACCTTGGATACTGCACTGCTTGACCTTGTAAGTATTTGATTGTGTGTTGTTGTGAAGTGAACAGTTTCTACTCGTCCTTCTCACCTGTCCTGCCTCTCTCTCTCTCTCTCTCTCTCTCTCTCTCTCTCTCTCTCTCTCTCTCTCTCTCTCTCTCTCTCTCTCTCTCTCTCTCTCTTTCTTTCTCTGAATGGACAGAGTGTTTGATTGTGTTTGTTAGAACGAGTAAGGAGTGATGAGTTGTTGTTATTGTAACGAGTACAAGGAAGACATGCAGTTGTTCCTGACGAAGAGCTGTGATTGTTTTCGAAGAGTGAAGTGAATTTAAGTGCTTGGATACAGTTCTAGGACAGGGATGTCAATGAGGAAGATGTTGTTTGTCATGTGAGTTATTTCAAGAGGTCATTGGCTAGTTCTCATCGTCGATAATGTGCTTGTTGTTCTGCATTGTTCATTTTCGTGACATTGTAAATTTCTTCGTTTTTTGACTGAGTATATCTGTTGTTGTTGTTGTGCTTGTGATGTGTTCTTGTGCTACTCAGTTAGGTCTCACAGCATTGGACAAAGCAAAGGAACGTGGTCGTGATGAATGTGTGCAGCTTCTCACACAGCATGAAGCTGACAAGGTATGTGTTTATTTTATAGTTCACGAGTGAGTAAATATGTATGTAGTGAGTGAAGTGTGTAATGGTGGAGTATGGCTGAATCATCGACTGTCATTCAACCAGAAATGCCAACCAGCTGGGTCTGTTTTGCATACTCGGGATTTTGATTTTCTGTACTTGTCAGTGTTTTGCGTGCTAACGTGTACTGACGTGTGTTGTCGGTTTTGACACACACATGCACTTCGCTCCCTGAATTTGTACTGCAAGATACATGTGACTTGTACCCACGACAGAATGTTTTGTGATGTCTGAAGTCGTAACATGGCAAGCACTGACTTCGCAAGGATATTCCATTACTCAGCTTGCGCTTGCCACGCTTCAACATGTTTACGTAAACAAATCCACGGTTCGCGTGATCCTCGGCTGGAAGCTGAGTTTTCCGCATCCGCAGGAACGCCACCACCCTGTGGGGGGGGGGGGGGGGGGGCTGTGAGGGTGTAGGGGTGTGTGCACGTCGGGTGGGCTTGCAAAGCGGAAGAAATCCCTGCAAGGTCCTTGTCAACCTGTGATGTATACCCAATGTCTGCCCAAGTGCCCATGCCACAGAAGGGCACCCATTGTAACTGTGATGAAAAAGACCATGGCAGCTCACAGGGCTGGCAAATACGTGACTGGTCTGGGGATTGTCCCTGCCGTGCGGTAGGGGTATCCAGCTTTTGCAGACACGCATTGGCTGTGGGGAGAGCTGGTTACTGCGAGGATGTGTAGGGGCAGGGGGGGGGGGATGTGTAGGGGCCGTGGGGGCCTGTGAGGATGTGTAGGGGCCGTGGGGACCTGTGAGGATGTGTAGGGGCAGTGGGGTGGGGGGGGGGGGAGGAGTATGTGTTGGGGCCGGGGGAGGGGGTGGGTGGAAGATCCTGTGAGAATGTGTAGGATGGCGGGGGGGGGGGGGCTGTGAGGATGTGTAGGACGGAGGGGAGGGGGGTTGTGAGGATGTGTAGGACGGAGGGGAGGGGGGGGGGGGCTGGGATGTTTTGATGGTTGTAGGGGTGGGAACTGTGATTGCGTAAGGGGGTGGGGGGCTGTGATGGTGTAGGGGTGTGTGTGTGGGGGGGGGGGGGGGGAGGGGCTGTGAGTATGTTTAGGGTATGGGGGGGGGGGAGTGAGAGGGTGTGAGTGTTGGTGATAACTACTGTTTCCTCCAACGAAAAACTCCTATTTTTGTCGTTATTCAATTTGTTGTCGTGTGTATCTTGTTCTCTCTATTGGTAGTGTGTGCGTACACGTATGATAACGTTCAGATCTGTGTCAGTGTCTTTGTCAGCGATGTGTGTGGATATGACAAACCATTCTGTTGATTCCCCTCATTCAGTCGTTGGCTATCAGATACCAGTGGGCAGTGTAGTCAGCAGTGTAGTCGATAGTGTAGGCTGTAAACCCTGTGCACTCACTGAACTCACTATGTGTTTTGTTATGTGTCCAGGCAAAGAAGAAAAGTAAGAAGCCACTGCTGTCATTAGAAACTGGTGAGGGATAAACTGCTGAGTGATTATAATTGACTTTCAACAGAGAACACATCTCAAACGATGTTGTTCTTGGCATTGTCGTCATCACTGTCATCATAGTCGTCAACACTGCTATTTCTATCTTGTGATCAAGATTGATTTATCAAAGTAATGTGGTATTTCCTGTTGTTCTTTCCCTTTCGGAAATTAACTGAATGCTGTTGTGTTCTCTTCTCTTGTGTTTTGTCTCCATGGACAATTGCCATGGCTACTGAAGAAGTGCGAAAGCAGCTGTGACGGGCAAGCCTAGTCTGCATAGCCACGGCGGGTGACGTCTGCCTCTCGTGTGTGTGTGTGTGTGTGTGCGTGTGTGTGTGTGTGCGTGTGTGTGTGTGTGCGTGTGTGTGCGTGTGTGAGTTCATGTGAGCACGTCTGTGTTTAGATGCATGGGATTTTAGGAAATTAGTAAACGGACTTCTTGTTGATAATTTGCTTCTTGGTTCTCTCAATATCTGCTGAATCTGTTCCATACATTCTATTCGCCATGCTCTTTACAACTGCAAGTAAATTTTGCGAATAATTTTCATTGTCGTTGTCGTCTGGTAAACAAATTAATTACATCATAGCTGATCGTTGTCCTCCACCAGCCTGCACTGTGAACTTAGCCAGTTGTATTAGTTGTTTGAAACTTTTTTCCCTCTAACTAATTTTCTTAGTATGCAGCGTTTGGCTGACTATCGTGTACAATTGACCGTGCCATTCTTTTTTATTTGTTTCTGACTTTTTCTTGTTTCCGTACACGTGACAATATTGCTGTTGCCTCAGCTTTGATGTTTTGTATAATAAATAAGTGTAAAGATTATTCCTGATGAAATTTAAACTCTCAGATATTCCAAATACTCTTTCTGCTCTCAGACTATGCTAGGTTCAAGTTTGAACTGAAGCTAGGCGGTTTACAGGAGAGTACGAGATCACTACTGCCTGCCGTTGTACATGTACATGTGTGTATGTGTGTGTGTGTGTGTGTGTGTGTGTGTGTGTGTGTGTGTGTGTGTGTGTGTGTGTGTGTGTGTGTGTGTGTGTGCGTGTGTATATGTGCATATCTGTTAACCATGGACTGCTTCTGGCTAGATTAACTCTTGTGTAATCGATGGTGCTAGTGACGCTTAAATCAGATCCACTCTGATTTAGCCACCCACACTAGTACCAAGTATTACCTTCACTGGGGGCAGGGGTACCTGCAGTTGGATCCCAGGACGGATACCCTGATGCCGTCCATCCTTTTTCTGCACCTTGTCCTCACCCACTTACTGAGGTGTGGTGAGCCCATAAGTGGGATCATTTTAAAGTCCAACCAGAGTTTCGGGGATTTCAGGGGTGTCGGCCGTTGGGCGGTTCAATAGCCAGTTGAGTCATCTTTCCAAGATTCCTTTTGAGTCTCTCTCCCCTCTACCGGGGAGACCCACGTGACCAGTTTTGGCAGTGAGCATTGAGCAACAAGTATGTGTGTGTGTGTGTGTGTGTGTGTGTGTGTGCGTACGTGCGCACGCGCGTGTGTGTGCCTTGGAGGTTTGTTACAGTCTGTATCGGCTATAGAGTGACCGGATAAAATATATCGGCTACAGTGATATTGGTACGAAATATCAAAAGCAAAACGTATTTTATCCAGTAAAAATATCACTACGAACGTAGAAAAAAACTTCAAAAATATCACTATAACCAGTATTATCGGATGTAATGATATATCGGATTTTATGATGGCAGCAGAGAATCAAAACATGCATAACACACTATATTATTATTATCGGCTATAGTGATAACTTATAAAATTCATGTAGCAATAATATAAAAGGCCCTATTTTTTACTTTCTTCACGTTGCTTATTTTTATAGTGATACATGTACATGTACATAACAGAATTTTTTATGGAAATGCGGGCCCTGTCAACTATGCAGCATGCTCGTTAGTTTTGTCAAAACGCCATGCTGGAAGTATTTTCTTACCTTTCATGTGTCGATCGAAATAAAAATAAAAAAATCGATCGTATCGCATAGTGATGCATCGGATATAGTGATAACATCACGGAAATCAAAAGGGTACGCTATAGCCGATACAGACTGTAGTTGCACGATACTTAGAGAAATCAGCCTCAATCCTGGGAACGGTATCTAATCTTGATGAGCCGAGTCTCAATTTTAACCGTTCAGCCCCAAATAAGTTTTGGGAGTTGCAATTGCATGGGTAGTGTCATTCCAAGGCACTTCCTTGCTATCGCTGTGATGTCCTGTGTGCAAAAGACCATACACAAGCACACTCTAGCGTATACTTCAGTAAACCTGGTCGTATTTTAGGTAAACACTGGGATTTATTGTACTGACTGGTCTTGTGTTAAACCTTGTATGACAGTATGACTAGTCTTATCAGGACACGTTACGACTAAACACTGTTCATAACCACTAGTCTTATCAGGACACGTTACGACTAAACACTGTTGATAACCACTGGTCTTATCAGGACACGTTACGACTAAACACTGTTCATAACCACTGGTCTTATCAGGACACGTTACGACTAAACACTGTTCATAACCACTAGTCTTATCAGGACATGTTATGACTAAACACTGTTCATAACCACTAGTCTTATCAGGACACGTTACGACTAAACACTGTTCATAACCACTAGTCTTATCAGGACACGTTACGACTAAACACTGTTCATAACCACAAGTCTTATCAGGACACGTTACGACTAAACACTGTTCATAACCACTAGTCTTATCAGGACACGTTACGACTAAACACTGTTCATAACCACTAGTCTTATCAGGACACGTTATGACTAAACACTGTTCATAACCACTAGTCTTATCAGGACACGTTACGACTAAACACTGTTCATAAACACTAGTCTTATCAGGACACGTTACGACTAAACACTGTTCATAACCACTAGTCTTATCAGGACACGTTACGACTAAACACTGTTCATAACCACTAGTCTTATCAGGACACGTTACGACTAAACACTGTTCATAGCCACTAGTCTTATCAGGACACGTTACGACTAAACACTGTTCATAACCACTAGTCTTATCAGGACACGTTACGACTAAACACTGTTCATAACCACTAGTCTTATCAGGACACGTTACGACTAAACACTGTTCATAACCACTAGTCTTATCAGGACACGTTATGACTAAACACTGTTCATAACCACTAGTCTTATCAGGACACGTTACGACTAAACACTGTTCATAGCCACTAGTCTTATCAGGACACGTTACGACTAAACACTGTTCATAACCACTAGTCTTATCAGGACACGTTACGACTAAACACTGTTCATAACCACTAGTCTTATCAGGACACGTTACGACTAAACACTGTTCATAACCACTGGTCTTATCAGGACACGTTACGACTAAACACTGTTCATAACCACTAGTCTTATCAGGACATGTTATGACTAAACACTGTTCATAACCACTAGTCTTATCAGGACACGTTACGACTAAACACTGTTCATAACCACTAGTCTTATCAGGACACGTTACGACTAAACACTGTTCATAGCCACTAGTCTTATCAGGACACGTTACGACTAAACACTGTTCATAACCACTAGTCTTATCAGGACACGTTACGACTAAACACTGTTCATAACCACTAGTCTTATCAGGACACGTTACGACTAAACACTGTTCATAACCACTAGTCTTATCAGGACACGTTACGACTAAACACTGTTCATAACCACTAGTCTTATCAGGACACGTTACGACTAAACACTGTTCATAACCACTAGTCTTATCAGGACACGTTATGACTAAACACTGTTCATAACCACTAGTCTTATCAGGACACGTTACGACTAAACACTGTTCATAACCACTAGTCTTATCAGGACACGTTATGACTAAACACTGTTCATAACCACTAGTCTTATCAGGACACGTTACGACTAAACACTGTTCATAACCACTAGTCTTATCAGGACACGTTATGACTAAACACTGTTCATAACCACTAGTCTTATCAGGACACGTTACGACTAAACACTGTTCATAACCACTAGTCTTATCAGGACACGTTACGACTAAACACTGTTCATAACCACTAGTCTTATCAGGACACGTTATGACTAAACACTGTTCATAACCACTAGTCTTATCAGGACACGTAATGACTAAACACTGTTCATAACCACTAGTCTTATCAGGCCACGTTACGACTAAACACTGTTCATAACCACTAGTCTTATCAGGACACGTTATGACTAAACACTGTTCATAACCACTAGTCTTATCAGGACACGTTATGATTAAACACTGTTCATAACCACTAGTCTTATCAGGACACGTTATGACTAAACACTGTTCATAACCACTAGTCTTATCAGGACACGTTATGACTAAACACTGTTCATAACCACTAGTCTTATCAGGACACGTTATGACTAAACACTGTTCATAACCACTAGTCTTATCAGGACACCTTACGACTAAACACTGTTCATAACCACTAGTCTTATCAGGAGTCAGGACACGTTATGACTAAACACTGTTCATAACCACTAGTCTTATCAGGACACGTTACGACTAAACGCTGTTCATAACCACTAGTCTTATCAGGACACGTTATGACTAAACACTGTTCATAACCACTAGTCTTATCAGGACACGTTATGACTAAACACTGTTCATAACCACTAGTCTTATCAGGACACGTTACGACTAAACACTGTTCATAACCACTAGTCTTATCAGGACACGTTATGACTAAACACTGTTCATAACCACTAGTCTTATCAGGACACGTTACGACTAAACACTGTTCATAACCACTAGTCTTATCAGGACACGTTACGACTAAACACTGTTCATAACCACTAGTCTTATCAGGACACGTTACGACTAAACACTGTTCATAACCACTGGTCTTATCAGGACACGTTACGACTAAACACTGTTCATAACCACTAGTCTTATCAGGACATGTTATGACTAAACACTGTTCATAACCACTAGTCTTATCAGGACACGTTACGACTAAACACTGTTCATAACCACTAGTCTTATCAGGACACGTTATGACTAAACACTGTTCATAATCACTAGTCTTATCAGGACACGTTACGACTAAACACTGTTCATAACCACTAGTCTTATCAGGACACGTTACGACTAAACACTGTTCATAACCACTAGTCTTATCAGGACACGTTACGACTAAACACTGTTCATAACCACTGGTCTTATCAGGACACGTTACGACTAAACACTGTTCATAACCACTAGTCTTATCAGGACATGTTATGACTAAACACTGTTCATAACCACTAGTCTTATCAGGACACGTTACGACTAAACACTGTTCATAACCACTAGTCTTATCAGGACACGTTACGACTAAACACTGTTCATAACCACAAGTCTTATCAGGACACGTTACGACTAAACACTGTTCATAACCACTAGTCTTATCAGGACACGTTACGACTAAACACTGTTCATAACCACTAGTTTTATCAGGACACGTTATGACTAAACACTGTTCATAACCACTAGTCTTATCAGGACACGTTACGACTAAACACTGTTCATAAACACTAGTCTTATCAGGACACGTTACGACTAAACACTGTTCATAACCACTAGTCTTATCAGGACACGTTACGACTAAACACTGTTCATAACCACTAGTCTTATCAGGACACGTTACGACTAAACACTGTTCATAGCCACTAGTCTTATCAGGACACGTTACGACTAAACACTGTTCATAACCACTAGTCTTATCAGGACACGTTACGACTAAACACTGTTCATAACCACTAGTCTTATCAGGATACGTTACGACTAATTATAGGTTAGTGCATGGCAGGGAGGGCCTTATGGCTTGTTAGTGCCCGACAGGTTAGCCTGAGGGCCGTAGGCCCGAGGGCTACCCTGAAGGGCACAAACAAG